ACGCTCGGGATGATCAGCGGCGTCCGATTATTCGGGAATCTCATTTCGCCGGATCCGATAAATTGCAGGGATCCCCGCGTCACGTCCGGATTATTGGATTTTATTAGGGGAAAGTACAGAAATTGCCCCGTAATACCTTGTCATTTTTCTCGGGTCCGCGGCGTTTGACGCGATCTCTATCGGGCCCTTCGCTCGAATTATCGGAATTCCGTTTCTGCTCGCGATTAACGTACCCGCCGATTGTGCTGAGTCCTCTGCGACATTTCGACAATCATTTCAAAAGATTCCTACAGAATTATGCTTTCCGGTGGTTTCTCTATGATTTCATGCGAGTCTTTTATATTCGCTGCGCAAAGGAATGGAAACGAGACTGCTAAAAGCCAGAATTTTGTGAAGAATTTTTAGTTTATAGAATCTATAGATTAACTATAATTATAAAATATATTCTATACTTTATTCTATCGTTCCTAGACGTGTTCGTTTATATAGAATCTAGAAAGTAGTGTCTCAAGAACAGAGAATACATAACATTACTAAAGTAACAATCACAAATTAACACACTTTACCACATATCTGCCTTATTCCCTAAACAACTATTCCAAACGACAAAATCCTTCGATTACTCAATCACATTTGGTTTCGATAAAATAATCCTTCCTTATTCCCCAAGCAGCAATTACTCGAAGCGACAAGATCCTTCGATCACTTCCACATCTCCAGCCGCGTTCGAGCCAAGCGCTTAAAAATTCAGCGTAACACCCGGAGATATTCCGTGGCGTGATCAGCGAGTCCTCGCGTGCTCCATTTCCCCGATCCGTTCGTTCGATCGGTCCGTTTTGACAAGGACCCGCGTCGGTCGCCTCCAGGGTTGGCCGAGCAAACGGTGGAAACAGGCAAAACGACGGAGCCGCGGTGATTGGCTGCTGTTACGCGACAAATGTAGATGTCAAACGCGATTAGGGGTATCCGGCGTAAACGCGATCCAAGAATTCCCCCGCGGCGATAAGCGACGCGACGCGACGCGACGCGTACCGGTATCGACTGATTTCCGGCAGCCTCGTGGCGGCTCGGACGGTCATTGCGCGCCGGCCTCAGATGATTAGGCCTTATTCGCATTCGCGGACACGCGTCCCGGCTCGTTAATTGCGACGCAAGCGAAGCCTTCGGGGAAGGCCGGCTGCGAATCGGACGGATCTCGGAACTTTGGACTGACGTGGACCCATTCAACGTGGATTTCCGTGTGTGCCTCCAACGAATAGATGACGATACGAACTTGCGGCTCACAGATTAACTGGTACACGTAATTCCGGACGAAAACGCGGACGCCTGTGTCGCGTTTACAGTAGCGCAGCTTGCGGAGCAATTAGAATTCAGAGGCGACACTGAAACCACCGGACAAAGTCACTCATTTCTGACGTCTTTCTGCAGTCATTGAAAAGACAAATGTTTCTTTGAGAAATCATTGAAGGAATCGACTTGGAACCGCGTGAAATGAATTGTAGAGAAATTGAGTCTCGACAGACGCACTCTTAGAGTTAGAGATGCGTCAAAAGCTCAGTTGAACTGGTTTTAGATTTACCTTCCATGATCTCCAGTAGTCTCTCGTTAATCCTTTCAGTAGAAATACTATATAATACGATATTTGAATCGAGAACCGATACACACTACAACAATACTGCGAGCGGATTCAGCTATGCACGATTTGCGTTCATCCTGTTCCATCAATTCAATCTAACGTCAGACGTGTTCATCAAACAATTCGCCACGCTAATTCAATAACTAAAACAGACACCCGAATCCTCATTCCCCCAACAATACCCACGAAAACCCAGCTAAAATCCGGAAACCACCTCGGAAATCCAAGCCGAGTCACGACCCATATCCAGTTACGTATCAAAACTGCAGGCCAACAAGCCCCGACCGTCGAATCACCATTGCGCTCACGTTGCGCAAACAATCGTACAGCAGAGGCCGCTGGCAGAGAGCAGACAGACGGAACGTCGAGGCCAATGGGCGGGAAGGAGGGCGAAAAAAGGAAATCCGCGAACGGCGGTCGCCGACTGCGTCAATTAGCGGTGTCGCTCGTCAACAACGGGCTGCAATCGGCCAGAAAGTTTTCAAGGCATCCGGCCGACCGGACGGGAACAGAGGACACGCGCGTGTACACGCGTGGCCCGTCGTGTTTCGGTTCGTCAGGGTGATTGGCGCGGCTCAAACGATCGGCCGCGGCTCGCCACGAGAATTTGCGATCCCGATAGCCCGCCATTCCCGTGTCGCGCGCGCGGTCATCTTCGTGTAAACGCTGATTCGCGCGGCTCGGGCTGCTGCTCTTACGGGCCCCACGGAGCCCAGAGACACACGGCGTATTTGCTCGGCATCCCGGTCCCCGCTCCACCGTGATCCGGGGATGATGTGGCTTTACGCCGGGATTAGCCGGCCGTGATCCGCCACCTGCGAATATCGACGATTCCTCCGTGGAATCGGTGTCACCGTTCGCCGGCGATAATGTTGCGGCCTGCGCGGAACAACGCCGCCAATCGAGTTGCGAGAATTCTCGCCGGCTTTGCCAGCTTGTCGGGACACCTGATTTTCGCGTGCGTCTGTCGACCGTCTGATGGGGATTGGGGCTTGCAGAGGTTAGTTGGTGCGTTCCGTTTTAGCCGTGGGATTGGGAGTTCGGTTGATTTTCCGCTGGGAAGGTTTAGTTTTCTTGGGAAATTGTGGTGCGAAGGGATTGTGGAGTAGTAGTGAGATAGGAGCAGCTGTTATCGTGTATTTTAATTAAATTGGTCGCTCAGAAGTTAGGACGGTTGGTACGAATTTTAATAGAATAAATGATATTCTTATTGGCTCGAGGATTTAATCGGAGCTTTGTTCGTTTTAGGTTGGGAAGCTTTTTCTTTTATAGCTTCTTAATATAACATTCTTATTGGTTCGAGGATTTAATCGGGGCTTCGTTTGTTCTAGGTTAGAAAACAATTTCTCTTATAGTTTCTGAATAAGTTATATAATTATTTCAGAAGCGAAAACATTAATTCCCTCGATTTGTTTCCTGAATGTTCGAAATGTTCAAATACGATTTGCCGAAGAATGGTCCTTTGTGCGAACTTTCATTTCGAGTTTTTGGAATTTTAACAG